ACGGCCGCCTTGCCGCCCTCAAACAGCGTGTTGCGGACCTTCTCGAACGCCTCGGACTCCATGTCGATGAACATGCGATTGTCAGCGCCGCGAATGAGCCGCCCGTCCCACCGGCCCGAGAACAGGGCCGCCAGCACAGTGCCCTCGATGCTCGTCAGGTGCTTTCGGCGAACACACGACTGACTCCCGCCGACATTCAGTTCGAGCATATCGTCACCAGAGGCCGCCGAGCCGTCAGATGCGCCATGCTGCGTCAGGGCTTTGCTGATGTCGTAGGTGTTGTCCTTGCGCCGCTCATCAAGGGACTCGAGCAGCGTGACGACGTGGCGGTCGAGCTGCGATGTCGCATTCACTCGAGTGAGCGGCTCCATGGCCACAGGATGACCAATACTGACACACACAGAAGGACAGACGAAAGGAGAAACAATAGATCTGCTCCTGCCGATCTCCCTTCAGGGTTTGAAACCCTAATCGGCCCCCCAGAAACCCTGAATTGCCCAAACCCTACATTTGCGGCCCACAGGGTTTAGGATCTGACTTTCGTTAAACACAATCACCAACCAACCTTCGGTGTTCCTTTCCCCTCCGTTGGCCTCCTCGCGCTGCCGGAAAGGGCTCTGTCTGACTCACTCGTCCATGCGGGTCAAGATCTGGCCATTCAGACGCGCACCGCCCGTGGTTAAGCGACACAGAGGAGGACAGGTGAGCCGGCAATCGATGCCTTCCCTCCGTCCACACCAATCTGACAGTGACACACACCTCTCTGTTGCCCGGTGTGTGCGGCAGATCTGCCGCGAGATGGCTCCCCTTCCACAGTGTGGCGTCTGTCTGGAGGACTACCATCACGAGGATGCCCACAGGCAGCCTCATGGGCTCCGATGCGGTCAGTGGGAAACACAGAGAGAGTGAGGGAGGGGAGGACCGACAAGTCACTTGTAGTGTGTTGGCGTGTGTGTCATGGTCCATCCGTCCTCCATCAGGTCACTCCTTCTGCGCAGCGGTACTCACAGACAGACGGCACTCACTCCTCAGTGAGAACTCATGTGTCTTTGGTCGCTGTCTGTGGGTCGGCAGTGTGTTGAGGGCCGCATTGGCAGCCATCCTCATGGCCACCCTTTTGCCGTCTGCCCAACTTGCAGGCACGCCAACCAACCAGCAGCTAGACCACGTTAGTAATGGCTTGACTGCTCTCATGTGTGGTCCTGTCAATCAGGCGCGAAACTCCACAGTCTGATGTGCACATCAACTACGGCCTCCGTGACATTGTCGAGCAACTGCGGAAGGCCACTGCGGCAGCACCGACTGACCCGACGACCCCAGCTGTCCCCCCGAGCGGCCAAGACGCACCCCTCACTGCTCGCCAGCGGCGCCAGCAGGAGAATGCCGACTATACCTTTGAGGTGCCGTTGTCGAACGAAATCAATGCCACAGACTCGCCGAGCCCGACGTGAGCAGCACCTCTCTCTCGCACGTGCGTCATCATAGATGGTCATTGGCTTTGTGTGTCTGTGTGGGTGCGTCTGTGTGTGCCATCGGCAGTGTCGCCAACGGAAGTGGGTCTCTCGACATCTGAGAGAGATGAATGACAACGTTGGGCGTGAAATGGCGATCTATTCTGGTATTGGTGACGGTCGTGGCGACGGATTTGGATTCGGAGGCCAGCAGTCTGCATACGGCCCTCCCTTTCCCCCGCCCCCGCGTCGTCGAATCCGCAGATCGGTGCCAATGACAACCAACAACGGTCCTGCCTTCACTATGACCCCGTTGGGTGCTCGGTATCGCATTGTCACGGAGGGCACCGGCAGAGTGCCCACAGCCAACGACCGCGTCAAGGCCGAATGGGATGTTTGGCGTGATCGATCCGACGGCCAGGACAAAGCCTACGATTTCCGTGGGCTGGTGTGTCCTGTGTCTCGTCTGAATGAGTGGCGGCGTGAGGCGGTGCTGTCGATGCGAGAAGGGGAAGTCAGGCAAATCATCGAGCCAGACGGATTCTTTGGCCGCTACGTTGAGCTGCGTTTGGTCAGCATAGAATAGAAGAGAGTGTCCACACACACACGTGGGGGCGGCTGTGTGTGTCACACACTCATGTGTGTGGCCGGGGGCTCTTCCCTCATCGCCTGGCTGACTGTGTGCCTCGGGTTGGAGGGAAGGAGGGAATGTGTTTTGTTTTTGTTCGCCAGGCAGACACGTCTTCCCCTCCCTGAGTCTGTGTCTGGCTGTGTCTACCTGCCTGCCTGCCTGCCACGAGCGGAGGAGTAAGTGTGCTCTGCACCGATATCGGTCGGCCGGCCACTCACAGCCCCCCTCACTCTCTCTCTCTCTCTCTCTGTCTCTCTCTCTGTGTGAGCGCGTCGATTGGTGTCTGTCGTGCTGTTTTGTGTGAATAGGGGAGGGTGTTCTCGTAGCGTATGTGTGTGCCAGCCTCTATTCTGACACATGGACGGATAAGTAGAACGTTTGCTGTGCGCGTGTGTACTGAACCAAAGAAGCACACACCATGTATGGGCCTCTCTGTGCGTGTCGTGATGGGTTTTTGGTCACGGCCGCTTTTTGTCTGCATGCGGTGAGTGCTCATATTCATGCCAGTCGTGCTGTCAAGAGAGGCTTTGTTCTACTGCCATCATCTTTCTTCTTCGCCATTAGTTAGGCCATTTGTCTGGTGTCTGTTTGTCGGTGCGGCACAGTCTGGTGGTCTCTTGTGCTCTGGTGGTCTCTGCCTGTCGATTAGCTGGCGCTTCCCTGCCTGCCTGCCTGCCTGTCTGTTTGTGTGTTATGTGTGTGCGTATGTGACGTTCGTGTGTCTGAACTCCATGTGTGCACTCTGCGTGTGTGCGTGTGTGTGCTTCGCACAAACCCGTTCATTCACCTTCTGCGCCCATCGGTTGTCTCTCCCTCTCTCTCTGTGGGCTCTCAACCACTTCTGTAAACTGCCAACCAACACGGCGCAAATCAAGAGCCTCCCTGTCGCACAACCAGTCTTCACACACATCACCGTTGATACTACATGTGTGCACAGACACATGGGCACACAGACACATGGGCAAACAGACAGGCGCCGCCCCCACACACAGACGCCCACACACATCCATTCATCACCCTGACGAAGACCGATGTGCACCACACACCCCAAAAGCTATCCGGCCGACTTAGGCTTGAAGCAAAACTCACACACCGCCGAGTACCTACTTCTTGTAGCTAGCCATGGTTTGTCTCGCGGAGCTCGTCGCGGTGTCCCATGGCGTTTCCCCCTGTAAAAGGAGAAAGTTCTTGAAGACCGATTACGTGAGGCAAATGTCAAGTACTTTGTTGTTCTTCATGTTGAGGAGAGCCCCGCCGCCCCACTCCAACCTACAGACATATGGCACCATAGGAGAAAAACAAAGACACCGAAAGTGGGTGATTCACTCGTGGCTCACAGCTGTTTCACAACGGAAGTATGGCCCTGCATGCCAGCCAGATGCAGCGCCGTGTTCCCAGTCTATTGTCACACACAACACACAGGGGGACACCAGCATTCTGTCTGCCTTTATCTCCCTTCTCTCACATGGGTCTTATCCTTGAGGAGACTGTTGCCGCCTTCAGCATGGATGAGCTTCAGCACACTGACTTGACCACAGCCAGCAGCGACGATGAATGGGGTCAGGCCATTCTGCAACCAACACACACACATCGCCACATGAACGAGCGTGTGGAGACAAGTGTGCCCTTCCACCTCGTTCCGTGCATCGAGCATTTCACGGCCACCACCCCACTCGAGCCTGAGTCATGCAACGAAAAAAGAGGAGATGAAGAGTCCGCGTCGGAGAGGGGATGAGCACTTCTCACAGTTGGGCGACAACCGCATAACGCCCCCCGTGTGCAGCCCAGTGGAGCGCCGTCCAGTCGTCCTGTAGTTGCCATCCACAAGGCAATAGCCACAGAGAGAAAGGCAGTCAGTTCTCTATGGACGCAGCTTACATAGGTTTTCTGCATGAGAAGGTCGTCGCCTCCTTTCGCATGGATGAGCTTCATCGCGCCAAGTTGACCGCAGCCTGCAGCGACGATGAATGGCGTCCAACCGTCCTGCAATCAACATATGCTTACACACAATAGTGGACACATTATATGTCAAAGACATGCACGCTGTGCTACATTGGTGCGTGCATCGAGCAAGTCTGCCAAGTCACGGCCTCCCCACTTGAGCCTGAATTTAAAAGACAAAGCTTGTGTGGATGATGAAATGATAACTTTTGTCTGTGTCTCTCACAGTTGCGTCACAACGGCAGTGTGGTCGGTCTTAGCAGCGAAATGCAGCGCCGTCCCGCCATCCTGTGTGTGTGTCATGCACAGAGGATGGCAATGGACACGGCGGTAGAGGGAAGAGGAGTGTGTCTACAGAGTTCTTCTGAGTGAGTAGGTTGCTATCCTTGGCATACAGGACCGACATCACCTCAACTTGTCCGTTAACAGCAGCATACATGAACGGTGTTGTCTGTACGAATGAAGAACAAAGCCTCTTGAGTGCATACCGATGCTCTTTCTATTGTCCCTACCCCGTCCTTGTCGTGTGTGAGGACGTGCTCGTCCCTGTCGATGATATACTTGACGGACTCGACATCGCTGAGCTGATCCCTGAGCTGTCTTGTGCGTCCACTTACCTGTTTGCTCATCTTTGTCCGGATGTCGGCTGGGGGGCTCTGGTCGGCCTCACACAACTCTACGATCAGCAAAACAGACTCTCGCCAGTGGCAGCCTCAGCCTCGTCGCCGCTCGCGAGTCTCAAGTTGGGGGCTGGCCCACAAAACCCTACAGTAGAGGTCTCAGATTGCCTGTTCCTTTTCCCCTCGTTGGCCTCTTTTCCGCGCTCCCAGAAAGGGCTCTGTCTGACTCGCGCGTCCATCCGGGTCAAGATCTGGCCATTCACACGCGCACCGCCCTTGGAAAGCGACCCACAGAATAGCCCGGTGAGCGGGGAATCTATGCCTTCTCTCCGTCCACACCATCCGACAGTGACACACACCTCTTTGTTGCCCGTTGTGTGCGGCAGATCTGACGCGAGATGGCCTCCATCCCCCAGTGTGGAGTCTGTCTGGAGGAGTACCACCATGAGGACGCCCACAGGCAGCCTCATGGGCTCCGATGCGGTCAGTGAGAAACACACAGAGAGAGGGAGGGAGGGGAGGACCGACAATTCACTTGTAGTGTGTTCGTGTGTGTGTCATGGTCCATCCGTCCTCTTTCAGGTCACTCCTTCTGCGCAGCGGTACACACAGACAGACGGCACTCACGCCTCAGTGAGGGACCCTTGTGTCTTTGGTCGCTATCCCTCTGTCCGTCTGTGTGTCTGCAGTGTGTTGAGGGCCTCATTGGCAGCCACCCTCATGGCCACCCTTTTGCCGTCTGCCCGACCTGCAGGCAACCAACCAACAGCCAGGCCATAGCATAAATGGCTTTCTCCTCATGTGTGTGTGTTTCTGTCAATCAGGCGCGAGACCTCACAATCCGATGTGCACATCAACTACGGCCTCCGTGACATTGTCGAGCAACTGCGGACGGCCACTGCGGCAGCACCGACTGACCCGACAACCCCAGCTGTCCCCCCGAGCGGCCAAGACCCACCCCTCACTGCTCGCCAGCAGCGCCAGCAGGAGTCCGACTTTGACTTTGTGCCGCGCCCGCCGAACGAAATTAACGCCACAGACGCGCCAAACGACCAGACGTGAGCAGTACCTCTCTCTCTCTCACTCTCACGCCTCAGCTACAGATGCTCATTGGCTCTGCGTGTGTCATCGGCAGATCGCCCTCTGGATGTCAACATGAGGTGGTGCAGGAGGGCACCGGCAATGTGCCGGCACTCAATGACAGCGTCGAGGTCGACATTGATGTGTGGCGGGATGCATTCGACGGCAACAACAAAGTCTTCCATGGCCGTGCGGGTGTGTGTCGAGTGTCGAGTCTGTGGTGCTGGCTCGACGAGGCGCTGCTGCAGATGCGGGAGGGGGAGACGAGGCGCCTTATCGACCCTTATGGCAGCTTCACGCAGCTCAGGTTGATCGGCATTTTGGATAGCTGATCGGCCGCTCGCTCGTGGTGCATTAATGTTATCTGCCTTCTCTTGCCGTGTGTGTGTGTGTGTGTGTGTGAGGGGGCTTTTATCCTACACGATTCATCGGTCGCTTGTCGCTCTTTCTCGAGACAGTTGATATCGCTCTCGTGATCGATGGCTGAGTGGCTGGGCGTCATGATCCATTGAAGCAATTGATCTGTGTGCACGACGCACAGCCATTGGTCATGTGTCTGGTGAGACTAACACTGGTCGGTCAGACGGGAGGGTGAGGTCAGGCGAATCAAACTGCAGACAGGCACTATCCTTTGGCCCGCTAGGCGCAACTGGTGGTCTCTTATGCATTTCCGCTGGGGCGCCATGTAATGAGTGACTTTTCTGTGAATCTAATACACACACGTGAGTGTCTGCCTGCGTGTCTGTCTGTGTGTCTGTCTTGTCTTCGAGAGGCTGCTTTTCGGTCGTAGGTGCTGCCCGCGTGTGCCAGTCACACGTGTCTCTGTTTCTGGTCTCCCTGAGTGTCGGCATCTTGGTGCTGGTCCGTGTGAGTAGCCTGGTCTCTGTGTGTCCTTGTGTGTGTGGGCGTGTGATGGAATCCTCGATGAATGAAGGGCATTCCATTCAGTGTCACACACACCACGTCAGACACTCAGTACTCATGCAATTCGAAAGCTACAAACTCTCAGATGTCTGTGTTGGCTCATGGCAGTCTCGTGGCTGGGTGCGCGTCGGCAGTAAGGCGTACGCGGTTGCTCCTGACGGAACGAAAAAGGCCATATGGGTACCGGTGCGTAGCGGCCTTCCCTCGATCTCTCTCTCTCTTCTGTGCTGTCGGTTGTGCTTACTACACTCACGTTGATGCATTGTCTCGTCAGCCATCGTCACCCTAGCGCCTCAGAACACACAGAAAGATGGTAATGGGTATGCAGTCACGTGAGCCGATGTGTGCCAGCATACCATGTCCTCCTGTGTCTCCGTCTTGGCAGCGCTGGCCTTCTGGCCCATCTTGCTGGGGATGGGCGCCGGCCCCGCGATGGCCTCGTCCAGCGCCTCTTGGATGCTGGGAATGTTGCCGCGTACCTTGACCTTCTTGGCGGCCGGCCTGGCCCAGGGCGGCGGTGCGGATTTGTCCGTGGCCTTGCCCTTGCCGCCGAGGGGAAACTTGGGCAAGACGACGGGCTTCTGCATGACTTGGTCGCGCGAGATGCCACCGGGCTGAGGATCTCCGTCAACGGCCGCCAATTGCTTGTGGTACTCGATGATCTCCCGCTCGTAACGCGCCTGACGCACAGACAATACATACACATAGGGCGCCGTGCACAAGAACTGACCCCCCTGTGTCTGTGTCTGTGTGTGTGTGTGTTGGTGTGTGTCTGACCTTGTCCTTCTCGGCTTTGATCTTGTAAGAGTTGCGCTGCTCGTCCGTCATGCTCTTCCACTCGGCCCCACATATCTTGGACACCTCCTGAGTGACGAAGACATCGATCCATCCAGACAACACACACACACGCAGATGGATGGCCGCTGTCAGCTTGATGGGCATCGGTCGGTGCGTTGTGTGTCTGTGAGAGTGTGAGCGTACCGTCACGCGCCCATACAAGTTAGGATCTTGCGCGATGAGTTCGTCGCGGCGGTCCATCGTGAACAGAATGAATGCGCTACGGGCCCTCTTGGGCTCGTTGGAATCCTAAACCCAACCCAACACAGCAACGACACAAGATGGCACACCAGGCACCGCCGATGGATCGAATCAGCCGCACCTTGAGCTTCTTGGCCGCCTTCTTGGCCGCGGCCGTGGTTGTGCCCTGCTGCACCACCTCCGCACTCTCCTCAGTCTCGACGCTGCACAGACACGCAGAGGGTAAGAATAAGTATGATCATTGGGCAGGGTTACCTGAGATCGATGCCACTGAGATCGACACCGTACATGGCGGCTGTCTTGTTGAAGAAGTCCTGCTTGGGGCCGTTGCCCATCTTGAGCGGCACAGCCACGCAGCCCTGCAGACACTCGTCAGCGACGGCGGCGGCGTGTCGTTTGCGGCGGTGGTAGTCGACCAGTCGACGGATGTGCTCCTCCGACACGTCCTCGACGGCAGCGGGCCACCTGGCCACACACACAAAGCGACCAAAGAGGGAGCGACTGTTCCCTGCCCGCCTCGTGTGTGGTGTGTGTGTGGTGGTCACTTACAGCTGGAATCTGCTCGCCAGTGCGACGTTGCCCATCTCAGTGAGTGTGGACTCGGCCGTCGCGATGAGATGGCCACAGACCTCCACCGAGCGAATGGGATCGTCGCCACTGACGGGCTTCAGGAAGGCACTCACAGCCTAAAGAGCCCACAGACACACAGACACACACTGACGAAGATCTTTCGCCCTGATCTCTCCCCCTCTCTGCCTACCATGACTTCCTTGATGAGGCCGTCGTACTGGTGCTTCTGCTGCTGCACCTCCTCGT